AATATTGAAGCTTCTGATAGATTGAGTGCAGAGGATTTTATTAGAATTGATAATGAAATTCAAGAGTTTGGAAATGTTGAAATTACTGATGAAGAAATTATTAGTCATGTTAGACCAACAGCTGAGTCTGAGCCAGAAGATGAATTATCAATTGTTAATCAAAAAATTACTACAAAAGAGGCATTAGAATCTTTAAACATTGTCCTTTCTTATATTCAAGATCCACATGAAAATCTTACATTTCATTAATTCAATAAAAGCAATTAAAAATCACATATCCAAACATACTGCTTCTAAAAAAACAAAGCACATTGGATAATTGGATTATTAAATAATTATTTTTATGAAATTATCTATTATTTATTTATTTTTCTTTTTTATAATTTTTTTTTCATTATTTTTTAATAAAGTCGTATCACGGGATTTTTTGTGAAAATTTTGCCGATCTTTTTATATAATGAATCACACTATATAGTGAAGTTTTTTGTCAAAACCATATTGAGCGCCAACTGTATATATATATATATATAAATCCAAATTTGTAAGTAAGCTGCGACATTGTCATGTGAATAGTTATTAAATCATGAAAATAATTGGTAAATTGCAGTCTAGATATATAGTTGCCAAAATTTCAAATAACATAGTAAAGTAACATAACTTTAAACCACTATAACTTTTTTTTTTACTAAATAACTCAAAAAAAACTTTCTATTACATTATTTTCATGTCTAGAAGATTGCAAAAATAGAGAGTTTTTGGTAAAATAACCCATATTTAGTAAAGTATCAGCATTTAAAGATTGGCAACATTTTGTGATGTCTTTAGATGATTGGCACTAAGGGTGCAAACATATGAACAATTGAGGGTTATGACATCAGTACGGCATAAACACGGCAATATGTCACTTTTCATATGCCGTATCATGTGCTGAATGCCATACCATGTGCCGAATACCATATCATGTGTCAAATGCTGTAACCCTAACTTATTATTATCATTATGTCACATCTATACATGCAGCCCAAATTGGTTTGGTGATTTTGATGGTCAAAATTATTCCAATTTTGATGGTAGAAAGTAGGAATTAATTATGGCATTCACTATTAAAAACATAAGTGTAACACCCCTTTACTACATGTGTAACTCCCTTTATGACAGTGTCAAAATACTTTGGGCTGCATGTATAGTCACATCAAAAAAATTTATCAACCGGTTTTTAAGAATAAAATATCCCAAGTTCATATGACTCAAAATTTCTCAGATAATAAAAAACATTGTTTTTATGATTAATCATTCAATGTTTTTTTCATTATATATGTATACTTCTGCAATAATAAAATAATCATCATCATATCATCATCATCATCTATTAACATTTATAAATTAATTTGAATCAATGAATGAACATGGCCACCATTATCAATGTAACTTCTGATGCAGAGAGTAATGAACATACTTTTTATGAAAGTCCAACCTCCTTGTTCACCTACAAAAAAACGAAAAGCAAATAAATGTGGTCCTAAAAGTGATGAAATCTGGAATTATTATAACAAAGGTCAAGAGAAAAATGATGGCCATTATTCCGCAACATGCTATTATTGTAGTAAAACTTGGGCAAGGGGTAAACCTGCAAAATTGAAAGCACACCTAGCTAATAAATGCTTGCCTTGTCCACCAGATATTAGTAAATTTTGGAAAGATACACTTGCAACAGAAGTGGTCAATTACTCTCGTTCAAAAAAAAATCCTACTACACCTCTTCCTGGTATACAACCATATATAACAGATCATTTTGGTTCAAAAAAACCTCTACCACTTTTTGTTACTGAAAGAATTGATCATGCTTTGTTGAAAGCATGGGTAATAGCTGGAATACCATTTGAAGTCATAGAAAATCCATTTGTTATAGACCTGTTTAAGGAACTTAACCCAGGATATACACCACCATCAAGAACAACATTATCTGGTCAGCTTTTGGACCAGGAAGTTGCTAGAGTCAATCTAAACATTGAAAAAGAGTTGGAGTCTTCCAATAATTTAACATTGAGTAAGTTTCTAATTATTTAAAATTCAAATAATTAATGCAATAAATGTGTGGGATTATTTTCAAAATGAATTAATGATTTTAAATAATATTATATTTTTTACTTTTTTTTGCAAAATTTTTTTTTAATTTTACTTGAAGATTTTTTTTATATTATTATATGATTGTAAGGATTAAAAGTAATTATTAATTATTAATTATTTATTTTAGCCTTAGATGGTTGGACTTCTAGAAGAAATGAATCATTATACAATTACATTATCTCTACACCATCTAGGAAAGAATACTTAATAGCATTAAAAAATTATTCAGGTTTTTCTCACACTGGTAACTTTCTTGCAGATGAAATTTCAGATATTGTAGAACAAATTGGTTTAGATAAATTTGCTGCTATAGTTACTGATGCTGCTCCAGCATGTTGTGTTGTGCGTGAAAAAACTGAAGAATGTATCCTCACATTTGGGATATAAGATGTGCTGCACACTCATTAAATTTAATAGCATCAGATCTTGTAAAAATTGATGATATCAAAGAATTTATTACAAAATGTGGAAAAATCACAAATTTTTTTCATAATTCTTACCAAGCATGTTTTAAGTTACGTCAAGGATTGCAGCAAATGAAAATTAGATCTTAAGGGTTACAAACCTGGGTAAAAACAAGGTGGGGTTCACTTTATATGACAACTGATTCTATTTTATGTGCAGTACCAGTGTTTGATTGGGTATGTTTTTATTTAAGACAATTGTAATTTTAAAATTTTTTATATTCACAATTTTATGTTCATTCATTATTAGATAATTGCTGAAAATAGAGATGTAATTTCAAATGATGAAGTATTGTTTTTATTACAAAATGAAGATTGTTTTAAGTTACGTCAAGGATTGCAGCAAATGAAAATTAGATCTTAAGGGTTACAAACCTGGGTAAAAACAAGGTGGGGTTCACTTTATATGACAACTGATTCTATTTTATGTGCAGTACCAGTGTTTGATTGGGTATGTTTTTATTTAAGACAATTGTAATTTTAAAATTTTTTATATTCACAATTTTATGTTCATTCATTATTAGATAATTGCTGAAAATAGAGATGTAATTTCAAATGATGAAGTATTGTTTTTATTACAAAATGAAGATTTTTTAACTAAATGCTGCCATATTCATTCAGTTTGGGGTCCTATTAAAGAATGTATAAACATACTAGAATCAAACACAGCCACCTTGGCAGATTGTTTTATTTACATGATCAAATTAGCTGTTGCAATTTTCAAATTGCCAGACTCAAATCAATTTAAAACTTCTGCAATCCATATATTTAACAATCGTTATATAGAATTTCAACATCCTGCTTATCTATTATGTTATTACATTCATCCATTATACAGAGGTTTGGAATAGTTTATATGGCTCAGATTGTCCTTTATTATTATTTATTTTATAACTTAATTATTAATTTAAAATTAGGTGGTGGTTTACGAAATGGTGGTTTTAGAGAGGCAGCATTAGTTGCTGTTAAATTGTGGAAAAATTTAAACCATAGTGAACAAGAAAGTAATGAATTAATTTCTCAACTATGAAAGTTTGAAGCAAAATTATCTCCTTATGACTTACCATATGTTGAAGAAATGGACACACCTGAACTTTGGTGGGGTTCAATTAAAAATAAACCTAGCCACTTATCTGAAATTGCAATCAGATTATTTGGAATAACCCCAACTCAATCAAATTGTGGAAGAAATTTTTCTACTCTTAAATGGATAATAGGAGATCGCAGAACTAGACTTGCCATACAGAGACTTGAATATTTCAAAAATTAGGTCTTACTATTTAACCAACATAAAAGCTGAACTCTTGTACTATGATAAAACATCAACTAGCAATGAGTTAAGAAATGTAGCAAATGATTCATCAGTTGGTGCTTTAATGAGTTTAGAATCAGAAAATGATTATTTAAATAATGTTAATTTAAATGATAATTCAATTCAGACAAGAAACACCTTAATAATTGATGACATTATTGATTTTAATTTTTTTAATAATAATAATGAAGTAAATGAAAATGAGACTAATTTAGATAATTCTTATAATTTGGACTATGATCCTGAATTATTAGTAAATAATTTTTTAGAAAATGATGATAATAATATAGATAATTAATAAGATTGTTTTTTTCTATATATGATGTGATTTAGATTTTCTAATTCAAGATTAGTTGTTTTTTTAAAGAATAAAAAATTTAAGTTTTTAAATCATTTGAAAAAAAATTTGTGTTAATTATTTTCATACACATATTGGTGTAACGTATGGCATAGAGCACGCAACATTTACATTTGCGTATGGCACAATGTAGAGCACGCAAGCATTTATGTTTGCATATCAGTCAGGCGACATTTCACGCGATCGACATGTCTACTGTAATAACTATGTAGAAATTTTGTGCAACATGTCAAT